AACGCAGTTGACACGCGTTTTTATACAAAAAATATTTACATGGGTATGCAAGATCGTTATAGCATATTGTAATATGCTCGAATGCACGATTTCAGAGACGGCAATGTCTTATTAGATTCTTGCAAGATTTCTTTCAACTTGCAAGATCTTACGTCAGATTTTTCGACTTGGGTAGTTTGCTTGACTCACTCTCCATATATGAAATTTCCAAATTGCACGTAATGGAAGAATATGACTTCATAAACATATTTGAGTCATGCACACGGTAAATACCATTTTAAATAAGATTTTTCTATTCTGCTTTATCATCATAGGTAAAAAAAGAGCGTATATATATATATTTAACAGGTAACTTTTATACAACATATTTCAATCTTACTTCATTAGTCTTATAGAAAGTCATTTCAGTTCCTTACGTGTAAATATCTATCTAACAATTTCAATTACACTTATAGTATAGTTAAAGATCATATAAAAACGATGGCATCTAATACTACGCAAGACAAACGGTTGATGGATAATTTGAACCAAATTGATCATGAAATTGAAGAAATCTCTGAGAATAATTATGTCTTTGTTGCTGAAAATGATCTCGATGTAGGTATAGCGCAAGAACTAGGATGGACGATGGTTGACTTCACCGAAAATGAGGCGGAGAAATATAATGCACAATATTATTCGTGTGCCGAACAGCATAGAGATGACGATTCTTCTGGTGGAATGTTCCCAACTCGACTCCAATTATTAAAAGACTATGCCTGTAATAAAACTTCTGAGGTCCGTAATACAGCTTCTAAGGTCGTCAATGGTACAGCTTCTGTGGTCGTCGATACAGCTTCTATGGTCGCTGGTACAGCTGCTAAGGTTGCCGGTGGTACGGCTTCTATGGTCGTCGATGCAGCCTCTATAGTCGCCGTTACAGCTGCTAGGGTCCCCGTTGCAGTAATGGTGGTACTTATAATGGGTGCAGCAGGCCAACGGATATGATCTGTCAGGGTGGACTACATACTCGTTAGCGTTTGATATCAATAATTTTTATTCTATTATATGAAAGTTCTGAAATAAAACTGTTACTTATAAGATACAAGTTCTTTGAAAGTATAGGTATGAGATGGATGTGAGTATGAGCGTGGATGAGTTTGTGAGGATGTAAGCGAAGATGAGAGTGTGAGTGAGTATAACTGTAAATGCAAGATAAAAATGATACTCACGCTTACATCAACACTCTTGTTGACGATATCATCAAGATTCTAACACTTGCTATTTCATCTTGAGGATGTGAGTGTTGTTGTTATCTTACACCAAGACACTCACACCCTTAAAGGTTTATTTATCTTCTTTGCGCGACTTGTTTTCATTTGAAAACTATCATTAACGCCTTGTGAATGACATAAACGTGACCGATTTGATGTCAAAAATCGTTCTCTCTATGACAGAAAATGACAAGCCGAACGATTCTATACATATTAGTAAATTAGAAATTTATCTAATTCTGACAAAATATGAAATGCACCCACTTATTTAATTTGTTAGTAGAAGATAATGAGAGAAATTTTTTCTTATCTGATTTTCAATATACAAAATATTGTTTTTCGATTTTAATTTCGTTCTCAATTTGGATAAATATCAAAATAAAGGACGTCAATTTAAATCGCTGAAAAATTCGCTTTTAGAGTTGTTTGGTAATCATGCTTCAACAATGAGTAATGACCTGATTAAAGACATTAAATTTTAAGGGTGTCAAATGATATAACAATCTTCACTAACACCCTCTGCAATAAATATATATGACGAGATAGTTTCTAGTAAAGTTCTTGACTTAAAAAATTTCAAAATCTTCTGATCATAGTCAGAACCATCAATTCGTTTTTTTACAACACAATCAAAGTCGAGTTCCTGATGATACATGAGAGAACCTTCATAAATATTAAGTTTTTATTCTGATTTTATTGCACAATAATCGAATTGATGATTGAAATCAAAAATGATTCACAATTAATAAGTATCATAAAATTTCCTAAATTACATAGTCACAATTTCTTGTTGTATATTTCTTTTAATTCATTCCGTACATCCTTAACTGTTTTTATTCGTGTCTTATGAGTATTTTTTTCAAATGTATCAGTTATTCTTTAATTAACTATAATAGTATAGAAAAGAAAAGTCGAATACAGGTAATATAAATACAAACATTGTTGTCTATAAAAGACAGATGCTTTCCGTAATAACTTTAAAAAAATTGAATACATAAAATCAATTTGCAAGTATTTCAAGACATAAAATTGAAGAATATCAGCAACATCGTTAAACTGATGTTTTTTTTATAAATTCTTTTTCATGGTAATAAATGGTTGCACTTTTTACTATTATATTAAGAAAACCTGTCAGTTAGAAAGAAAGTGCTCTAAAAATAAAACTCGATATACACTTTTTTTAATGATTATATGACGCTCTATGGTTTGCATGATTATTCGAGTTATAAAATTTTTCTTCCATCTATATACTTCGAACGTCGTCAACCATCTGTTGTCAAAATATTTCTTTCAGTTTTACAATTATTCATTTTAAGTTGTGATGAAGCTCGTAGTGTTTGTATGTTTGTTGTTCATAACTAACGGTTTTCAACCGAGTCAATTTACACTCAGTCAAGCAGGATATCAATTTCAACCGGCAAATAATGTTGAACTAATATTTACCTTTTCAAATATTCGTACCAGTGCATTATGTGCCATTCACTGCTATCAAAATATACTCTGTCGTACATTCGATTTTGATTCCAGTTCACATCAATGTCGTTTATTCGAAGGATCTGTCAATACGGGCACTCTCATATCTACTGTTATAACAACTTTAGTTGGTTGGATTGAAATGGATGCATCGATGTTCTCTTTATACAATGCAACAAGTGATCAGTGTATCAATAATCGGTTTCTTTACAGTGATACTATCTCTGGTCGATGTGAATGTCCAACGCATACGTTTTATGATGGATCAATGTGTTCGAATCAAAGATTTGATGGTGATACATGTACAAGCAACAACTGGTGTCGCACTGGCTTAAACATCAATTGTATAGCATCGATATGTGTTGGTAAGATTTGTTTTTCGAAAGAATTTCATGAGAGGAAATGAAAGTTTAAAAAAACCATTGGTTTTTCAGGACCTACAACTCCTTCAATGCCATCGACTACAGTTACTTCATACACTTCTACAACAGGTAAACATCAAACGAAAAAATAGTATTTATATATATATCATTTGATGCATTTCATAACAGTTCAGATATCATCATCGCCTACAATGATTTCAACAACAGCATCAACAACCAGTGTTACTTCTGCTACAACGACTGTTGCTAGTATGTTAATTTGATTTCTATGTCATAGGATAACAAAATAATTATATCTTGTCTTAGCATGTACAACTCTCATTAATTTCAATGATATTCCAGGTGCGTCCAGCACATCTGGTATAATTCCGAATGGTTATAAAAATCTGAACTGGATTAATGCTGGATATATAAATGTATCAACAACTCCAAGCAATAGTGGCTATCGTGCAGGAGTCTCTACTATGCCTTTTGTAATGTATAATCCAACAGGTGGAAACTTAACAATTACATCAGCAAATGGTACTCGATTTTCGTTCGATGCTGTATGGTTGACTAGCGCTTGGCGCAAACCTATGAATATTGTAGTAGACGCATTCAGCAATGGATGGATCACATCAGGAGGTCAAGTCAGCTTATCGACAACTTACCAAACTAAATTCAGCTGTAGCTTCTGCAGAAACACGGACACAATAACATTTTATACGGATGGAAGCATTGGTAGCAATCTTACACAAAACGGAACTCAATTTATTATCGGTAAATTGTGTATATCATTTGGACATTAATCAGTGCACACTAATTAATCTTAAAAATAAAACATAAACACACACTGTAAAAGCCTATTTTTTTCTGAGTAAAGAAAATAAATATAAATAATATATGATTATATTCAGCTGATCAGCTATTTGTAGAATAGATATTATCTTTATAATATTGTTACAAATAACGGAATAAACAAGAAGTAAAAGAAAAAGTTCGTATTGCAAGTGATCTGAGCTAACAAAAGACATCAATGCGAATTAGTTGTTATAGACTTAATAAGAAAAGAAGACAGTATCATGATTTTTTCATAATAAGTGCGTGGATGTAAGATGAGTATAATATCCACATTCTCAAGATGTTAGTGAATAGTAATCATTACAAGTAGCAGTTTCTTTTTAGAGAGTAAAGAACGGTAAAACATGACAACGTTATTAACCAAATAATGAGAATATCTATCGTTTTACCAACAGATGAAGAATGGAAGTCGACGTAGTAGCAACATATCACGTATATTCACAGAATGACGGCAAAGACTGACTTGTTTTCTTCTTTGAAGAAAAAAAATAAAAATAAAGTTTTAAATCCTTTTAGTTAATTTTGTGGTAATAACGTATTTAAGAAAATCAGAAAAATTATGAAATTCATTTTTGCCTTCATCATAGAAAAAAACTAATAATAAACTTTAACATCTTTGAAAAAATGGTAAACCATGATACAAAACACCTCCTCTCATATATGAAACGTTGTAGAATGCTTTCAAAGAAAATTAGGTCATAGTATTTCGTCGCAGTTGGAACAGCTCATTTTTTTTGCTTTGAAATTATAAATAAAAAAAGGATCAATGGTAGTATATACATCACTTTATCTTATATTTGATTTGATTTCATCAAGTTCATATGTCAGCTGTGTTGATTTACATAATGTATTATTTTCTATTGTAGAGATTTTATTAGTTATTGTCAAAGAGATAGAGTCTATTTCTCATCGATATTACAATAATTATATTTTTATTCACTTTTTGTGTCAATAAGCAACAAAAATATAACTAGGGCGAAAAAAAATGACGAAAAAGAGCATTTTATAACTTTCTTTTTGTGCATGAAATAATTCTAATCATTATCCGGGATAATTTTTACAAAAGTAAATGAGAACTATTATCTATTTTTTCCTACATTTGAATCGTTTCATATTCTTGTATATGACAAATCAATCTATAATTAAAAGAACTATCTATTGTAATATTCAAAAACCGTACATATCATTGTTAAAATGAACAATCGGTATGTACAATAGTAGTCAGATATCTGACTATTTAAATCCTGACTTGAGGCAAATATTGAATACTGTGGATACTGATTGGAATTGAAAACGCAATAGGAATAGTATTCATCACAGATGCACATAACAAATATAGTGAGCATGAATTCTTTCGATGTTGACTGAAAAGTATCATAAATATCTAAAATAAAAGTGATCGGTACGCGATAACGTAAGTTGAACAATCATTTTTTTTTCATATCTCGTGTTGTTAAAGCAGTTCGATGTTTGTTTTAATATAACTATACCATGAATAATAACTTTCATTTTATAAGATGTTTTCGTAATTATCTACGGACTTCTCCTGAATACAAATGAGAATATTACATATTTTTTAACTTTAACTTTTAGTAATATAGTCAGTTGTTAGAAAGTCTTCTTTAATTACATATTTCTCCCCTATAAAAAATATGGCATTGTTTAGATTGGATAAAAAAGTAAAAAAGCGAATTAATTTCATGCACAATTACTGCATTATTACTAAAGAAAAAAAAGTTTTCTTCTTATGATCTTACGATATAAATAAATATTTAAATAATTTTCGTTTTTTTATCATATCATCAAATATATTTTGTGCATTTGATTATTTTAAAACTTTTATATTAATTTAATCATTGTGATTGCATATTTAGTGCAGCAGTGAACAATAGTACCCAGTACTTAGCAGAATTGTTCCCGTTAAAGAAAAAATACTTCATTTCACATAAAGCTATACATATAAAGGAGAAATAGAAAGAAAAAATAAAAAAAATTGATTTCTCTTTGAATAATTTCGATTACTCCTATTCGTGGAGAAGTAGATGAAGCATTTCTGCTAGAACAAATCGATATGAATAAAATATCCGTTTAGCAGCAAGGGAAGTTTGATATTGAAAAAAGATTTCTTCTTAACTTTATAAGATTAAAGTGTTTCTGTTGGAAGTGAAATGGTCCAGTCCTTCTAATTTAATGGAGTAATGCTTCTATTTTCTTCGAGTTGAAAAACTTACACAAACAGTTGCTAAGCAAGTTTATTGATCATACTCTTACATGATGAAAAATTTAAATAATGCACTTCATGTATATGTGCACGTCATGTATGAGAGCGAGAGAGAAAAAAAAGAAAATACGCACTTCATCACATCAGTGAGTTACACGATGGTAACAAAATAGAAACAAAGTGACGTTTCACACAAAAACAACAGGCCAATTAGCAGAAAACTGACGATATTTTACTGCGCTTTTATAAACTTAAATATAATTGTTAACGACAGATGTGCCGTAGCAAATTTTAATCTTGATTGATAGAGCACTATTCTCAGTTTTTCTTTCTAAGATATTTCGGTATCAACATAATCACAATCAAATTCTTTTAAAAAAAATAAAACAAAATGCTTCTTTCTTCTTTTATTTCAATTATGATTAACAAGATGTAAAAAAGATATTATATGAAGAAAAGAATGTGAGTGGTGTGTATGTGTGTAATTCTCAAATGATGTATACATAGCGAACATGATTTGAGAAAACACTTTTAGAGTAGAGAGGACTAAGAAATAAAAATTTTGAATATATTGTTATGTAAAAAAAAACTAGCCAATGTTGATTGACATCGTCGTTTAAGCTTGTTCTCCTTCTTCTTCTTCGCCACCTTCACCTTCTTCTACAAGAAAATAGAAAAAAACAAAAATATACAAAAAACAAAATACAATAAAAATCTGGACGTACCTTCAGCTGTAGCATCTTGATATTGTTGATATTCACTTACAAGATCATTCATGTTTGATTCGGCTTCAGTGAATTCCTAGAACAAAATAATACATCTCATAATCGATCAACTTTTTTTTTTTAACTCACCATTTCATCCATGCCTTCACCAGTATACCAATGAAGAAAAGCCTTACGACGAAACATAGCAGTGAATTGTTCTGAAACACGTTTGAATAATTCTTGAATTGCTGTACTATTACCTAAAATAAAATAAATTGATTAAAAACTTAGAAACAAAAAAATATGAAATTTTTTACCAATAAATGTTGCGGACATTTTAAGTCCTCGTGGTGGAATATCACAAACAGCTGTTTTAATATTATTTGGAATCCATTCAACAAAATAAGATGAATTTTTATTTTGTACATTTAACATTTGTTCATCAACTTCTTTCATTGACATACGTCCACGAAAGATTGCAGCAACTGTTAAATATCGTCCATGACGTGGATCACATGCAGCCATCATATTTTTTGCATCGAACATTTGTTGAGTTAATTCAGGTACAGTTAATGCACGATATTGTTGTGAACCACGAGATGTTAATGGAGCAAAACCTGGCATGAAAAAGTGAAGACGTGGAAATGGTACCATATTTACAGCTAATTTTCTAAGATCAGCATTTAATTGACCTAAAAAATGAATAAATTTTTCATTATTTTTTTTTTGTTAGAGATTAAAAACAAACCTGGAAATCGAAGACATGTTGTTACACCTGACATTGTTGCTGAAACAAGATGATTAAGATCACCATATGTTGGTGTTGTTAATTTCAATGTACGAAAACAAATATCATATAATGCTTCATTATCGATACAGTATGTTTCATCAGTATTTTCAACAAGTTGATGAACCGATAATGTTGCATTATATGGTTCAACAACTGTATCAGATACTTTTGGTGATGGAACAACACTGAATGTCATCATGATACCTTAAATAAGAAAAATATGTATATTTATTTATTTATTAATTAAATATTAATTTACGATCGGGATATTCTTCTCGAATTTTTGAAATAAGTAATGTACCCATTCCAGAACCAGTACCACCACCAAGTGAATGTGTCATTTGGAAACCTTGAAGACAATCACATGATTCAGCTTCTTTACGTACGACATCTAAGACTGAATCAACTAATTCGGCACCTTCTGTATAATGACCTTTTGCCCAATTGTTACCAGCACCAGATTGACCGAAAACAAAGTTATCAGGTCGAAAAAGTTGACCAAATGGACCTGATCGTACTGAATCCATGGTACCTGGTTCCAAATCAACAAGAACGGCACGTGGAACATATTTACCACCTAAAACAAGCGAAATAATTCAAAAAAGGATTGCCTATTATTTTTCTACTAACCAGCTGCTTCATTATAATAAACATTGATACGTTCGAGTTGAAGATCTGAATCGCCATGATATGTACCAGTTGGATCAATACCATGTTCATCAGAAATTACTTCCCAAAACTAAATATATATATATGTAAAATATTCAATTGTAATTAAAATTATTAATTTACTTTAGCACCAATTTGATTACCACATTGACCAGCTTGAATATGAACTATTTCACGCATATTTTGTTAAATGTATTACTGCTGAAGAAAACGAAGAAAAATAAAAACACACGAGATGTTAATCAATCTATAACGACAAATAATTTCTGTTATAATAAAAAAAAAAAAAGTTTTTTTTATTCGCTATTGAAATGTAAATATATAAGAAGAAAAAAAGAAGAAACTGGTTGCACAATACCGGTTAGAATAAAATGTGAAATACGATCAAGCTACTTACTTATATAGTGAAACGAAAAAAAAAACAACTATGACTTCTATCACTAGGAAGAAACGTTGTGAAGGACATCTGAGATGTTTCATCACTAAGAATGACTGTTACATCTGTGACGTGCCGTTGCTAGAGGCGTCGAAAATTTTACCTTTATATACTTCCATTGTATTTTCAATTCGTATTTCATACAAAATTCAACTTAAATAAAATATCCATTAAAAATAAGAAGGGTAAATAAGAGTCTTTTACACTTCACATCTATTAAAATATTATCATGAGAAGCTCTATGTTTCATTCTAACAGAAAGAAATATTCTGATTGTTACGAAAGAAACGTATTCATCCTCCTTCTTTTTTTTTTGTATTTTAAATACGAATTCTATGTACGACAAACCAATACTGACTGACTGACTAAATTGGCCAAAGATATTTTATGGTAAAAAACATGTCGTAAACATCTTGCCGTATAGAATTTTATACTAATAAGACGCAAGTGTTGCGATAAGAAGAATAAAGAAAAATATAAAATATCTTTTGATTATGATTCATGAAGAATGCAGTGAACAAAAGTCAATAGAAAAAAAAAAAAGAATTTTAGATTACATTTTTTACAAAGAAGAAACTATATGATGATAATAATAAAACGAGCATGGGACACAATTTTATACTTTTTTTTATCTAACAAAGAATTCGAGGTTATCAAATATCGTATTCTGATCTCTATGAGATGTCTCAAACAGAGTGTGGGTGTATGAATGATGTTTAGTGTATCTCATTTCATTCGATTATTAAGTAAAAAATTCATTGTAAAAGGTTTTTTTTGTGACGCAGTTTATATATTTCTTGTTATTAGTGTCAACGGTTACTAAAAGTTTAAATATTATTCTTATTTTTTTTTTCTCATTATTATTGTGCTTCATACTTTTTCCTTATGAATCTGCTTCATCATTATTTACTTTTCTTTTTTTTCTTATCTCAATGTGCGTTTTATAAATTTAATATTGTTACAACATATACAAGTTGTTATGGTTATTCGTTTGTTTTCTATCATCATAAATTATTTACTTCGTAATAGTTTGTTTCTGTCTCAAATATATTTAAAAGCTTTTTATATTTCATCTATTAACAAGATTAAATTGAATCGAATCTTCTACGTATAGCAATAAATTTAATAAAACTTCTATCTAAATCATATATATACCGACATCTCTAAATGCATAAACAATTGTTTTTATGCAGATGAACTACATTAAAGAGGCATGTTCTCCATTTTCATTGGAGATTTATTTACTTGATGTGAGCGACCATATTGACTTAAAATAACATTAATACGCTCCATTTTTTGATGTGAGTGTGAAACCTTAGTTGTAATTACATTTGTCTAGATTGTATATTATCAGAATCAATTATATTTGAAAGAGAATAATCAGATAAAAAATATGAGAAAAATGGAAGTATTTCTAAAAAGTTTCAACCGATGAATTTTTGTTTTTTCTCGAACCCGTTCCAGTTCTGATATTAACAATAAAATATTGAAGAAGAGAAAGGGTTCAGTCGTCATCCTTGTTCATATAATATTTTTCAATAATTTTACTTTAATATGGCTGTAAAGATCGAAAGAAAAATAGTAAACAAATAATCGATTATAAGAAGTGAATATTAGTTATTTTATATAAATAATATGACGTCTGTTTAGAAAAATTGAATGTGATAAATATGTGAGAGAAGAAGAATACAAATATGATACAACCACATCCACACCCTCAAATAAATGATGATAAGAAATATGAATTGATTCTAATAAAAATGAATAAGACTTTTATGATATGAGTAGTTTATAAATAATAATTATTAAAATGTAAGTTGAATTTATGTGACCGAATCAATTCGAATGTTTGCCGCTATATTTATTCATCTACTTGACAAAAAACGATCGAATTGATGCAATGTATATCAGTTCTTTACCAATCTCTATCATCAATTAATACATCGAATGTGTTGAGTGTCTGTTACAAGTTACAGCATAGAAACAAAAGTATATATTGAAATCTCTTCTCTTACTCGATTTATCTTCAATACATCCTCAAGGTATTGAGCTCCAATGCCAATATCGTTATATAGAAGATGCAGTGTTGTAAATGTCTAAAGTACGTTAAAATAGTCATTGTATGATAGATACAAAAAAAAAAGTGTCTAACGCGATTAATCTTGAAGACATCAGCAAAGAATTTTGCTCCCTCACTGCCGATCATATTCCATCCAAGATTAAGTGTTTTGAGTGTCTACATCTAGTAGGATCACACTTTTGCAATAGGTGATATATAAAAAAACAGTATCTTACTTTATTAATTTTTATTCCATCAGCAAAATGCCTGGCTCCTTCATCGCCGATACCGTTATTTCGAAGATTTAATGTAGTGAGTGTCTGTAACGAATTAGATTGTTAGATAATTGACAGTTCTAAAAAATTTAAACCATACTTGATTAATTTTCATGGCATTGCCTAGATACTGAGCGCCCTTATCACCAATATTGTTCATTTGAATCATCAATATTCTCAGTGACTGTAAGAAAAATATTGATTAAAATATGACATATAACAAGATATTCTTTTTCTTTTACTTGATTATTCTTCAAGCCGTTGCCAAGATATTGAGCTCCATCATCACCAATACGATTGAAAGAAATGTCCAGTTCTGTGAGTGTCTAAGACGAATGCAAATGTTAAAGAAATGATAGAGAAGAAATTGGATCTTACTCGGTTGGACCGTAAGGCATCACCGAGAAATTGTGCTCCTTCACAATCGATACAAGCGCTCCGAAGGTTCAGTTTTGTTAATGTCTACGATAAAAAAGTGTTATTTTAAAAATCCGATGTAGAATTAAATGATATTTCACTTGGTTGATTCGTAAACCATCAGCCAGATATCTGACTCCAGCATCGCTGATACTACTGGAATTACATTGCAATGTTGTGAGTGCCTGAACGAGATTAGAATATTTAACCAATAATGATTGAGAAAAAGTTATGTCTCACTTGATTAATCTTCAAGACATCACCCAAATACTGGCCTGCATTTGGTCCAATCTGGTTCGTCTCAAGATTCAGTTCTCTGAGTGTCTTTGACAAGTAAAAGTACTCAATGAATGACTAATATGCAGGGGATTTTATCTCACTCGATTGATTTTCAAAGCATTAGCTAGATATTTTACTTCAGTATCACTCAGACCACTCCATTTAATCTCCAGTGTTGTAAGTGTCTGAAATAAATGACAGTTTTCGATTGATGTCTGATCAGATGATATCAATTCTCACTTGATTGATTCTTACGGCATTACTAAAACATTCAGCTGATTCTGGACCGAATTTGTTATAGTTAAGAAGTAGTGTTGTTAGTAACTGTTAAAAATGAGAGATTGATCAAAACATGATAGATTATAAAAGATCTTATTGATTACTTGATTGATTTTCAAACTATCACTAAGATAGTGAGCTCCTTCATCACCGATCACATTGCTAGATAGATCCAATTTTATCAGTCCCTAATAATAGTCGTACAAGATTCAATATGTTGTACATACAATAAAATTATGCGTTACTTGATTAATCGTCATCATATCAGCAAAGTGTTGAGCACCTCTATCATTGATTCTATTTCCATGAAGATGCAATGTTACAAGTGTCTGCAGAATGTGTAGAATTCTTAAATAGTTAATAGATTAGAAAAACATCATGTCATACCTTGTTGATCTTCAAAGCATCACTAAGATAGCAAGCTCCTTCCTCACCAATTATGTTGTCCGAAAGACTCAGTATTTTAAGTGTCTATCATGAATAAAAGCTCGTGAAAAAAAGATGTAATGACAGAAGAAGCTTTTTAACCTGATTGATTTTCAATGCATCAGCTAAATGTTGTGCTCCCTGAGGACCTATATTATTTCTTGTAAGGTCTAATCTTGTGATTGCCTGTAACAATTGAAATTATTCAATAGATGATAGACGACTAGAGATTGAGTCTAACCTGATTGATCTTCAAAACATCAGCAAGACAGCATGCTCCTTCATCATCATCAATACCGTTACTCAAAAGATCTAATGTGACAAGTGTCTATGATAATTCAGACTGGTTATTTAATGCAAGATTAGAGAAGCTGGTGTCTCACTCGATTGTACTTTAAGGCATCACCAAAATATTTGGCTCCTTCTGAACCAATACTGTTGTTTGAAAGGTCCAATACCGCCAATGTCTATGCCATATGATAATATTCCTTAGAAGACTCATGCATGGATATGACGACTTACTTGATTGATCTTTAATGCATCTAAAATATATTTCGCACCTACATGGTTGATGTCGTTCTGTGTAAGAATCAATTTTGTCAATGTCTATAACAAGTGATATTGCACAACAAATAGCAAGCATGAAAAGATGTGACCTGACTTGATTACTCTTTAAACTATCACCAAGATACTCTGACTTTAAAACGTCAATTGAACAGAATCGAAGATTTAGTGTTATAAGTGTCTGAAATAATCGTAAATATACAATACATAGTACTGACGAATAACTGATATTTCACTTGATTGCTTTTCAATGCGTTACTGAGACGTTGAGCAGCGTCATGAGTGAGATTGCTACACTGCAGATCGAGTGATGTCAATGTCTGTCAAACATAAGAAAATTCATTCAATAGAAATAGGTTTGTTTTTTATTCTCACTTCAATTTACCTGAAAGCGAGGATAAATATTAGTGATTGCATTCAATCGCGAACAAACATCACGAACTGATACCAAAATGTCCGAAGGAGCTAGATGATCCAAAATTCGATAGGTAAGTTCGACTGGTAAATGAAGTAGTGATGGGATAATGTTGTGCGACGACATATCTTTACAATATGCTTCTCTTAAATTTTGTTTGTGCACACCAAGATTGATGTTTCTTTGAATATAGATATATATATATATATAATTGCACCGGCAAGATAAGTACATATCTCGTTTTCATCTTGGTTGTGCAATATTTTATTTTGCCTACAGAATGACCAAATTACACCTTGCAGAAAAGATAATAGCAAACAATCGTCCTTCACAAGTCGCTATGCACTTTTCTCGTCAAATAATGCAAAGAACTTTATCGTCTAAAATTTAATCGATTATTTTAGATTTTTAAGAAAAAAATCGATTTTAATCATATTTTTCATAGGTTTTTCCTACATGGATTATGACGTGCTTCTTTTCTCGATCTTCTACATTTTATATATAAAATTTTTGTTGAATCACTCAATATTTCAATACTTGTTAAGAAAGGAAATTGCTCCTATTAATATTTTATTACATATTCTATTGATAAAAAGTTTAATTTTTCGCTCGAACGATAATTTTTCAATTATGAACAACAACAAAAAAATGAAGAAAACATCATGTGAGCTATATAGCGTGCGTCAGCTGAATAAATAAAAAATTAATTATATACATCACTTTTCTAGTTTATTACTCATGAGAATCCTGCATTTATTTCAGAAATCGTTATGATTCTTATTAGACATATGTTTCTATCTCTTGTTGTTGGCTTATTACTCTTCATTCGATTCAGTAGTCAAGATAATTCTGTATCAATTATTAGTGGCAGTGGTCGAGAGTTCATTCCTGCTGATAGTTCTCATCCTCCCATCCTCAGTTGTTCGACAAAAACGCGGTTACGCTGCGATCTTGAGTGTAATAAGCGTATCGATTGTCGAACATTCGACTTCGATGTTGATTCACAACAATGTCGCTTGTGGGATGCCGATGAGAGATCAGGTTCAATTGTTATCTCGCTTTCGAAGCCACGATCAACCGTTGGTACTATCCAACTCTCGGCCAATACTTATGTCAATATTCACAATCAGTCGTGTGACAAATGTGTCCTAAGTCGATACGAAACGTGTGACGTAAGCAGTTCTATTTGTCAGTGTCCGCTGAAAACCTTCTGGAATGGGTCGATGTGTTTGACACAACTGTTTCAAGGTCAAATTTGTTCGCAGACGAATGATTGTCGATCAGATCTTAATCTTACTTGTCAACCGAGTTGTGATCAAACGTATCGATGCTCAGTCAGTAAGTCACCTAACTTTCATGTTCATTTAGAGATTCTCTTTTTCGCCAACAATCTTTGATCGAGAGTTTATAACTCCTATTCATACCGCAAAATAGGAAAAAGAATTTTTCTGGAGTTTGACAGAATTTAATAGGATCGAGTGGGTCTTGATATATACCATTTACAAAATTTGATTGAGAATTCATTCCAGATAGTTTGTCAGATGTTGACACTTGCTTAAGAGATGATTACTTCTTCCTATACGACGTCAAAGTTCTTGCTAACGTGTTTCAGCTTAACTAAACCCATTTATTATCGAAATGCATATATCACATTCTGAGAAATTCAATTCCATATTATGTACTAAGTGTTGCTGATGGTTAGATATGTGCATGAAAACAATGTGAAACATGGATTTTTAATATATTAGCATCTTTTATCGTTCGTGTTATTTTTAGTTACTTGTTTTTTCCAAAAAAAGATCAAAACTTTTTTCTAGAAGGTAAATATATTTCTCATAATTTTGTTGAGAGTAGTTATTTCCGATTTATGATACTTGAATACCAAACAAGAATGAGAAAAAAAAAGTTGAGTTATTCTTCCATTATTTCTAATGGTGGATACTTTAAGAAAAAATCATTATAAAAACAATTAGAACGCGTTTACAACCATTTTTTTCGAAGAATTTTTTTTCATGGACAGCGAGAGAAAGACATTGAGGGTGTGGGTGTGAATCTTTTTCAATCTG